TTCCCATGCTACAGCTTGCGTCTGTATGTTCTTAAAGTATATCCACATAAACTTGCATAGGCGCAATGTGTAGACTTGTTTTTTAGAAACTAAACAGCGTTACAAAGTCCCTATAAAATATTTTTGCTTATTAGATATCAGCATTACTTTTCAAAAATTAGAAAACGTATAATCGCGTCTTTTAATTTTTCGAGGATGCGTCTTTATTAGACATCTTCTGATTTCTACAACGGCCAGAGAACGCCTATCGCATCCTTTAATTTTTTCAACGGCCAAAGAACGCCTATAATTAAGGCACTAGATATGTAGGTATTCTCATCCGCCATTTTGGTTCCTATTAGATGGAGAATTATAGCGTATACAGGGTGACACTTAAAGACTGCCCATTAAGTACATAGCGTTATTCCTTGCCAAAAAATGAGTCGAAAAAAGTCCTGAATCATTTTTAATAATTGACGTGTTACACATGTACGCTATACTATACTATATACGCTATAATTCTCCATTTAGTAGGAACCAAAATGGCGGATGAGAATACCTACATATCTAGTGCCTTACTATAATCACATCTTCAAAAATTCTTTAATTTTTAAACGTCTTTTGGTCATTGAAAAAATTGAAGGAGGTTTAATCACGTCCTTGAAAAAATAAAGGACGCGATTAGACGCCCTATAACTGTTGAAATTTTTTAAAATTACAAGTACTATGAGTTAATGGTAAGTCAAACGTCTCTTTTCAGTAGTATCAACGTCAGGCAAGAACAATTTTTTTAACATAACTAAATTATTATAACGAAAAACACATAATTATTATTACCAATATAATAAGTTAGTTATTAAACATTATAAATTAAATATATAATTTATTAAACATATAAATTAAATAAAAAAAGATTAATAATTTGTAATATAATGGTATTTATATTTTATATTTTTATTTATCACATGATATATATAAAAATATCGAACTATGATCGTGTTATTATAAAGAACAGTTACATTGATTGTCATTACAAATATGAAATTAACATCGTGAAAATATTCATATTTTTTATCTGGATAAATTATAAAAATAAATTTTTAAAAAAGAATCTAATGTTACATAACACAATTATAAAAAAGTAATAATAAATATTAATATAAAGAAACATTTAGAAAAAAAATTTATAACATATACTATTCTTATATCAAATTTACTGAATAAAATAAATATAAAAGTATGAATTTTTATGTGAATTATATGCTATAATATTTATCTGCGTCATACAGTAATACATCTTCAATTATCAAAAATTAGTCATTTTATCAGCACTTATATTAGATACAATAAAGATATAAAACATAAAAATACAATTAATTTTTTCATTGATATCAATTCAATTATATATTCTAAAATTAAACAAATTAGCTGTGTACTGTAGAGATTTCATTAAAAGAATAACTTTCAAGTTTGCAATCGATAAGATTATTTTTATCACTCGTTACAATTAATACGAATCATTTTATTCTACAAGAGAAAGATTTCGATCTTTATATAATGCAGAAAAGAAGCAAAGGCGACAAGTTACATGGCATTCAGCAATGGATACCCACATATATGCTAATACAGAACATTTCATTTAACTCAGTAAGCAGATTTGCATCGTTGTACGATGCCATTGATGAATAGATCACATTTTAACGTCATTATAATATACGATATAATTTTCTTCATTGTTAAATGAGCAGTGTGTAAGAAAAGATTCAAACATGATGTACAAAAATCGAGATCATTCTCTCAGTGAACAAATTACATGAACGTGTACTGTGCTTCTATTGCACTTAACATTATTTATTATAACACATAATCTAATTCGTATCGTATATATTGGTTCTTTGGATCGTTCATGATGCGCGGGTAACCAGCTACAAGAGCGTCCTGTCCACCAATGTAAAGAGAATTGTATATTTTCCAGTAGACGTCGCGAACTTTACGGGCTGGATGGAATAAACCCTGTAATAAAAAAAGAAATAATACATGTAAATAATAATGCACTTCTCGCGAACGAAAAGTTACTGATGCGTGCATTCTATAAATATAATTACGTACTTGCAGTGTATACTGTAAAATCTTGATAGGTCCAAGCGCAACGCGCAATCCATCCACAGCATCCATAAATGCTTGGACCAAATGTGGTGAAGTCTCGAAAACATTCGGCCACACATGATTCAATAAATGTATCAACGCATCTTCGCATCCAAATCCATAAACACCTAATGCCATATGTTTGATAGCAGCACAGGCAGTCTGTCTGTGTACTAAGTCCCTGAAAAATCATGAGAGAGAATTTGAGAGTTAGTTGAAATTATTATGTTAAATTATTCCTAAATTACTCGCACAAAAATATGTTTGAAAAAAAGTATATTACTTGTATGTTGCAGTTTAAACACCCACCTGTCCATAAGTGCATCTTCTAGCAGTGGACTCACAGCGTAAATATAATCTTTACCCATTTCACCGATATACTCGAATAAGAACGACAAGGATTTCAATACTCCATTCTGTACGTTTAACTCAGGTACTCTGTATTCGTTCATCAATGCAGGTAACACTGTAAAAGGGCTACACGTTTCAGCAACGATGGCAATAGCCACTGTTGTGCAAACGCGATTCTGACGTTCCTGGACTTTCAAATTATTCAAAAGTGTCGCTAACACATCGTGCGGTCTGTTGAAGAAAAATTAAAAAACTATATATAAATGTAAACACATTTTATACATACGTATAGACAGCGTTAAATGACCAAACTTACCCAATAGCTTTGGCGATATAACCAAAAGTATTTACTGTCGCTCTTCTAATAGCCTTTTTGTGGGCTTTCAATAATTCTAACAATTCGAAACATATCCTCATCCATTCTCGTGCGGAAACATATTCGGGACCACGATCAGCGATTCTGCCCACGAGGTCAATGCAATTTTCTTGCACCTAATCAAAACAAAATCAGCAATTTATTAAGTAAAAAGAAATAAAACAAGGCAAGTGTGTTCGAGAAATATTCAACTTTACAACTGATTACAATTTTATTTTATACAACGACATGAATAATATCAAATTTGAGAGTAAAAGAACTAAAATATATACGATTTTTACCTTTTCATGTCTGTTCTTCAAGATAGGAGTAAGTCTTGGTAATAAATCTTTGATAGGTGGTGTCATTTTCGTCATTCCTATGACATTAACAATAGCTTTCAATGCCCCTAAAATACTACCTAATACTTCTGGATATTCTTCACCTAAATACTCGTACAACACGACTCCCAAGTGTCCCATTAATTTTTCCTGGAAGTATCATATACATCATTTATATTGTTTTGCGATTATATTGTAAATTTATTTCAAATTTCGTGGAAAATTGAAAAATATAACCTATAATGCATCCCTTACCTCTTGACAAGTCTTCATGACCACTGCGATACGCGAAATAAGATCTGCAGCTTGCTGTCTTACTTTTGCCGATTTGTTATTCAGCCTCCACAATATTGTACCACATATTTGTGGAAGATACGCCTTTACTCTTTTACCTAATGTGTTCACGATCGTACCGAAACCATTCAACATAACTACGTCCTACAAACAAAATTAATTTTAATTTCTTTTATCCTTTCAATAAATAATCCACAATTTATTTGTGCGTTTATATGAATCGATTACTTATAGTTTCTATCAG